AAAATTTAATAAAACACCAATATCATTTAATATTTTCAATTATCACCATCATAATAATTAGTATATTTATAATATCATATAAATAATATATAAAAAAATTAATATAAAATTATATTAGAGTTTTTTATATAAATTTAATTTATTTTAAAAAAAATACCAGCTCGTTGAGCAGCTCGCCAGTTCGCCGAGCCAGGCTCATTGAACACGTGTTCAATGAGCTCTGGCTCGTTAGGCTCGTTTTTACGAGCTAAAAAAATTAAGGCTCAGATCGCTCGTTTTCTGGCGAGCCACGAGCCAACTCGCGAGCCAGGCTCGTTTTGACACCCCTAGTCACACTAGTCCCACTGGTCACACCGTTCAAAATTTGTTTTGGTCACACTGGTCACACTGGTCACACTGGTCATACTAGTCACACTGGTCACACTAGTCACACTAGTCCCACTGGTCACACCGTTCAAAATTTAGTTTTGCTCACACTGGTCACACCGTTCAAAATTTAGTTTTGGTCACACCGTTCATATTAGTCATATTGGTCACACTAGTCACACTGGTCACACCGTTCAAAATTTAGTTTTGGTCACACTGGTCACACCGTTCAAAATTTAGTTTTAGTCACACTGGTCACACCGTTCAAAATTTAGTTTTGGTCACAGTGGTCACACTAGTCACACTGGTCACATTAGTCACACTGGTTACACTGGTCACTTGGTCACACTGGTCACACCGTTCAAAATTTAGTTTTGGTCACACTGGTCACACTAGTCACACTGGTCACACTGGTTACACTGGTCACTTGGTCACACTGGTCACACTGGTCACACCGAAAAATTTTAAAATTCACGCGAAAAATTTAATTTTTTGTGGTGGAGGGAGTTTTAAAAATTTTAAAATATTTAATTTTTTTCCTAGGGAACCGAAAACTGTTTTCTCTCTCTTCTGTTTCTGTCATTGGGACTCACGCCAATGGGTATTATAGGAATAACATAATTATAAGGGTATGTTTTGAACTAACTTTTTATTTTATTTTTGCAGGGGTATGCCTTGAAGTCTTTGTAGCATTGTAGGGATATTTTTGATAAAAGCCCGAATTTGGAGCCGCTGACAGGCAGGCAGACTTTCCTTCTTCTTCTTCGTCCTCCCTCTTTCGAGACGAAACGGCGTCGTCTGGAGGATGAAAAGGACAGGTCGGCATCAGCACTCCCGTCTCTTATCCCCTCTGTCTCTCTCCAATCCATGACGCTCTGTCTTTAATATTCCGTGAAATTTGGGGATAAGATAAGGTATGGCTCGCATTTTTAGGAATATTTCTTCTGCCATTTTTTTATTTTTTATTACCTTTTCAAGCGAATGCTCTTAATCTTATCTGTCAAATGATTTCATATTAAAACAATGAATTCTTCTAATAGATTTTCTCCGTCTGGTTATTTCGGTGGATCTGTCTTTTTCATGGACTTTGCTGGTTAACTAATCTCCTTTTTTTGTTTCCTTTTACATCCCTTTCCTCCCCCCGAAGCCGCGTTTGGAAAAAATCGATCCTTTTCTTATTATTTAAATAGTTTATTGAATCCGCGAAAGCCGACGAGTTCTATATGCGCAGCTTCTCTCACGCATCGTTTCTGGTATATAAACGTGTGCGTGTGTTTGAATTGAACGCACGCATATGTTCTTCTCTGCAGCTTCTCTGGATAGCTTTCTCTATTAGCTTGTGGGAGTTCAACAAAGTAAAAAAGGTCCTTCTTTTATGTTCAATTTTCTTTTTCTCTATCTGGGTCTGTATATCTTTCCTTTGTTTGATTCTGTGTTCGTATTCACGGATTATCGGAATGGAATCTAAGAGCCAGATGTTTCTGGGTCTTTTTCTCTCTCTTGGTAACAAGAACATGCGTAGAAGTAGGAACGTTTCTGGGTTTGTTTTCTCCGATCCGTAAATGGATATAGAATGAATCTGATTTAAAAAAAAAGGCGGTAAATAAGCTAGTAGTAGATAGAGTTTTGCTGAGGAATGCGAAGTTTGAATGCTTGGGAATGGAAATGGTTTTATGACAGATAAAAAAAACATGCTGGAGAAGGAGTTTTTCACGGAGTATGGAGAAGCCAGTCAGTATCAGATACAGGAAGTGGTCGGAAAAGGAAGCTACGGCGTTGTAGCCTCGGCCGTGTGCCCGCACACGGGAGAGAAAGTGGCGATAAAGAAGATGACGAACGTGTTCGAACACGTGTCCGACGCCATACGGATACTCAGAGAGATAAAGCTCCTCAGACTTTTAAGACATCCTGACATCGTGGAGATAAAGCACATAATGCTGCCTCCTTGTCGGAAGGAATTCAAAGATATTTATGTAGTTTTTGAGTTGATGGAATCGGATCTTCACCACGTCCTTAAGGTAAATGACGACCTCACTCCTCAGCATCATCAATTCTTCTTGTACCAACTTCTCCGTGGTCTCAAGTTCATGCACTCGGGTAAGCTTTCTTTGTCTCCCTCCTCTCCTCTTCCTGCATTAGCTCTTTCTCTGTGTTTTTTTTTTCCATATAGCTCATGTTTACAACTTTTTTTTGTTGCATATAGCTCATGTTTTCCATAGAGACCTGAAGCCCAAGAACATCCTTGCTAATGCTGACTGCAAACTCAAGATTTGTGACCTTGGGCTCGCTCGGGTCTCTTTCACCGATTCCCCTTCAGCTGTTTTCTGGACTGTATGTATCTATCTATCCCTTTTATGTATGGACCCATGATGTTTTTTTTCACTTGCTGACTTGACTATCATAGAATAGTTTGTGGTTTCTGTTTTGCGTTATAGCTCATGTTTTTCCATAGAGAGGTATGTATGTGTTTAGCCGTTAGGCTTGAATCGGTTGACCAACCAACGTCATCATGTTCTTTTGCAAGGACTACGTTGCTACGAGATGGTATCGTGCTCCCGAGCTCTGTGGTTCTTTCTATTCTAACGTAAGTCTGTACGCATTTGCTCCTGCAAGAAATATAAAGGGTAGAATGCATGCATCCAGCTAAAGGATAGAATTTGGATTTTCATTTATGGATACCATTTGCATGGGGATTTATCAGTTAGTTCCTTGCATATTATGGAAAGGTTCTATTACAATGCTAAAAAATAGTTCACAGTTTTATGCTGACCGTCGACATGTCACTATCTCTAATAAGTTCCAGCCATGAAAGTTTTTAAAGTGATTCATTGCAATTTGTTATGCAGTACACACCGGCAATTGACATGTGGAGCGTCGGCTGCATATTTGCGGAGATGCTCACTGGAACACCCTTGTTTCCGGGCAAGAACGTTGTGCATCAGCTTGAACTTGTCACTGATCTTCTTGGCACTCCGTCCCCGGAAACTATAACAAGGGTTTGTTCCTTTTTTTTCTGTCCGAAAACTAACTTGTGAAGCAGAAACTCCTTCTCTCTCTCCCCCAAGATAAAATTGCCTGCTTGGATGAAAGTTTTATCAGCTTTCTCTGTGTCATGGTTCTTTATAATTATAATGTAGATTCGGAATGAGAAGGCTAGAAAGTATTTAAGTAACATGAGGCGAAAGGAACCTGTTCCTTTCTCCCAAAAATTCCTCAATGTCGATCCCGTGGCTCTGCGTCTGCTTCAGCGTTTGATCGCGTTTGACCCAAAGGACCGTCCCTCTGCAGAAGAGGTAAGAAAAAGGACCCGGAATCCAGTATTATAAAAAAAAACTTTTTTGGTAGATCATTGTTAGCCTTGTTGTGCTTCAACCGTTCTTCGTTCTCATATAAGGCTAAATTTGGTAGAAGGGATTGAGGAGTTACGCTTGTGTATATTCATTTCATAATTCTTGATGATACAAGGTTTGATGGTTTAATGCTATAGTCTGTTGAGTGTTCCATATGTGTGTGTGTGTATATATATATGGTTAAGTATGGCATGGATACCACCTTCATATAAGATTGAAGCTCGATAAAAGTATCAAATATTACGTTTTCTCTACGATATGAGATTGACTGTGGTTATTATTACGCGTTTGTGTAGGCGTTGGCTGATCCGTATTTTGAAGGGTTGGCAAACGTGGTGTACGAACCCTCAAGGAAGCCGATATCCAATCTTGAATTCGGGTTTGAGAGGAGGAAATTGAGCGGGGAAGATGTTAGAGAGCTCATGTACAGAGAGGTAACCCTGCCTGAGTGAGGCCGTGAATTCTGGCCGTAATCGGAAAAAAAAAAAAAACAATCTCATTTTGATACCTGAAACAGATATTAGAGTATCATCCACAGATGCTGCAAGAGTATCTGCATGGAGAAGAGCACATCAACTCTCATTTTCTATATCCAAGGTCTGTCTTCCATATATATACACACGTTTTATATATACGTATCGAATTTATATACAAGCGAGTTTTGGATTTTTTTTTCAATTGGTTGTGGCGAGCAGCGGAGTAGAACAGTTCAAACAACAGTTTGCCCGTCTCGAAGAACAACATGATAAGGACGAAGGAAACTCCCCGCCGGTCCAAAGAAAGTACTCATCTCTCCCCAGGTACTTTCCCATCTTTCTTTACTACTGGACCATTTCTAAGCGGGGATCCGGGAACGAGTCCCACCACAAGGGTGTATTGTAGGCAAATCTTACCTTCAAGAGGATGGCTATGTATAAAAATTATGTGAAACAGAGGTATCTTGAAATCGTCATATATAGTATACATATAAACCGGGTTCGGGGTAAAATGTAATGCAGGGAACGCGTCTGCTCACCGGAAGATCAAAGGGTGACATCACCTTCAAAGACTCCAAACGAAACGGAAGCACAGAGGATGCAGGAGAAAGCGGCTCCTCTGAAACGCTCTGGATGTCTCCTGAGAAGCGATAGTATCTGCGCTTCAACATGCGTGGCAGCCGCCAAAGATTGTGACGTACTACTGGTCAAGTGAAAATTTGAGTGTTTGTGTTAAATGTGAACGTTGAAATCATCATCATCATCATCATCATATATCATGTAAGGCTTTAATGGGAAAGATATTCCAATGGCATAATATAATTACTGACAGTGTTCCGGGAAACATGCTTTGTCTTATCTGTTATGATTGGGTCTGTTGCTGTTTTAAAGAACAGAACATAAAATGGACCAACAATTATAAAAGGTGACTACAATTTGTGCTGATAGACATATATATATATTATATTGGATTCTAAATTTTCTACATAGAGCATATAATTGGTACAAATGCTGATACACATTCCATAAACCAAAGAAGACCAAAAAAAAATGGAATTGGCAAAAGAGATGATTGTCCCGCAGTGTGCCACAATCTTTAGCCACTTCCATCAAGTTGTCCGAGAGAAAGAAGGTGAGCCATGTACTGCTGCTTTCACATTTCAAAAGGGATGAGAGGTTAGCCAAGAACAAGAAACATGGTAAAAGCATAAGGATCCGGTCACAGACAACAACTAAGATGATGATGAGTTAAACCATGTTGACACAATAGAACACATTCACTGCACCAGTACCAGATCAAGCAGATAGTAGCCTACTCCATTATCATCCAGTACCAGATCAAGCAGATAGTAGCCTACTCCATTATCAAACCACATATGGCTAGAGGGCACGGAATAGGATTCTAACCGATAAATTTTGCAACTTTCTACCCTTTTTTGCCCTAGTTCATCCGGTGTATAGAACTTTGCTACATAAATTTTGCATCTTTACAACCGCCATGCCCTGCGTTTTCTTGGCTTTTTCTTGTATATGGTAGAGGTATCATTCCGATGAAGAAACTTACAGAGTGGTAAGCGTAAGGTGATTTCCCCTGACGCTCAAAATGCTTAGCCATTATGGAGTACTCGATCGGACCCCATTCCTCCGTTTCAAAGCAATTCCCAAGCGCCGCTTTGTACAGCTGTCCACCATTTCAGGAATTCGCATTTTACAACATGAAATCCCTCATTATATCATTTGGCCTAATCGTACAATCCAACCTAACTGAACAGAACCCTACCTTGGTAGTGTCTGTAAGAAGCTCTGTGCCTGCTGGGTAAGATGCATAAAACTGATCCGCTCTTGAATATCCTGCTCTTGTTCTTCACCATCCCAATACATTAACCCGACCGATGCGAGGTGAATTCGGACAAGAAAAACATGCGAAATCAGAGAGATGATAGATGACAAGCGAAATTGGGACAGGAAAAGCACGAAAATTGAGAAGAAATGAATGGGAGAGAAGATACGTGTTGTTGGTATAGAAGAAAGTCAAAGCAGCGGTGAAGCAGTAGAATCCAGCGTAAGAGACGATCCTTCGCAACTTCTGGATCTTGAGAATCTCTCTCAACACATCGTACACCATCATCTTCTTCGTCCAGCTACGAAAGTAAACCCTAGAAAAACCCACCCAGTTATTTCATAAATTATTTTTTTTAAAGATCCAATAAGATTTTTGGGCTGAGGCCCAATACTTATTGCCTCCACCTCATAAGCTAATGGGCCTACCCTTTTCATGTGTAGAGCCAGAGCCCATTCCAAGGTGTGACCATGATTCTCTCTTTCCTATCTACGTTACTAAATCGAAATTCTTTTTTTTTGGGTAACTGGGTTTTCTAGATCACGGATCGGAAGTCAGCCATATGATTTGAATTATGCGCTCCCTCCCCAGACTGGGTTCAAACTCGGGGCGGAACAGACGCTTTACGTCCCGTTTCACCGGTTGAACTACCTAGATTGGATTAAATCGAAATTCTTGCATGTGGTTTTATACAAAAATATTTAAATCACTTCATTATATCCTTTGATCTATTTACATTTATTTATCAAATTAAAAATTAAAAGTTTGTATATTTTTACAAAACTTGTACTTGTGGGATTTTTTTTTTCCCCTAATCTTTTACCAAAGTATAAAGGTAGACGCCGGATTATTGCCAGCAACAACAAAAAGCGGTAATCATTACAGAAGACCAAAGGAGGAGAATGATAAATCTGAAATTTCTAGATATCTAAGTGAATGGACGGCTAAGATTTAGTGGGAGATTCCTAACTAATCCCATTCATTCCCCCTTTTTAACTATCCTTTTCAACTATTATCATTTACCCATTTTTTTGTATCACCGTCCAAAATAGTTATAGCATTTCAAATAACCACAATTTAAATGAAAAAAGAAATCCATACAAAATGGTGTCAACAAAAAAATTCGTGTAATCCTTTAAATAAAATACTATTTGTTAAATCACGGATTCACGCGAGTCCATTGAACTAATATTTTGTTTGGCGGCTTTGTGCTAAATAGTGCCACGTAATTTTCAATGATATTTTTACAACAATTATATATATATATAATTATATATGCACATATATTGAATTATTAAGAAACGGACTGCGTATCTTTTGGCTTGCCAGCGGTTCAAGACATACAAGTACATAAAGTGAGACTAATCTTAAAACATAATAAAAGCACTAATGATGCTTTTTACTTTGACAAAATGAAATCTCCTAACTCATCATCCACCTTAATTAGGGTTGAAATTTGCATCCCCAATTCTTCGTTATTGTCCCACTAAATTTCTTTTCACACATTGTTACCTTAAACGCTACTCGGAAGCCGCTTTTTTGTCCGTAAATGATACGGTGTGTATATATATATATATATACACACGATATATATAATTACAAAACAAAATATATAATTACGATCGACTATCCCATTTATTTGTGGATGGATAGAAGCTTGCTTTCTGGAAAATGTCGAGTTCTTTCATATGCCCATGATTTTACATATCGCATTATAGAAAGAAAGATAAATATATATAATATTGCATAAAATTTCACTTAATATTAAGCTCACCTATGCTTTACTCCGACAACAATTTCTGTGTAAGGAGGGAAAAAAAACTGGGGAATGAAAGAGAATTCAAGGGCAAAGAACAAAATCGTGGGGAGAGAAAACCTCCGGATGGGAGAGAGGATTTAGTCGGTGGTGGCATTGAGAAGGCTCAGACGGAGGGACAGGCCCTCTCTGAAGCCGATTCCCCAGTGAGTAACGGAAATCTCCGACATTCTTCCACGTCATCATCGGCCTTGCATCAGTTGTCCCCGAAGCTATTAAATACATCACCATTATCGTTCTCCACACACTCGTCAATCTCCTGTACGTGCATACAATAATAATATCCTTTAATACCACCACACACACATACATACATACATACATATATATATATATATAAACTTGTAACAATATTACATAGTTTTTGTATCTTAAATAAGTATATAGGCGGATTTTTTTGTTGGTCTACTAATCTGCATGGTGACAAACACCCGTCTGCAAGTTAACCAAGAAAAACCCCTTCTGCATGCAAACACAAGACACGCACGTGTTTAATTATATACAGAAATGCATATGGTGCACTTACTTAAGCAAGCTAAGGTTCCGTTGAGTGCACCCTCGGACCGATGACGGTTGCGACCGGTGGCGGATATATCTCGCGCCGAACATTGAGCTTGAAAAACTAATAATGTTATGCGTACTGCTGTGGTTATGGAGAAATATTGAGTGGTATTATATACCACCGGATACAATTGCTACTTGCGTCTATAAAGCAATATATATATATATAGAGAGAGAGAGAGAGAGAGACAGAGGGGGGGGGGGGTTGTT